AAAAATGTTTGTTTGTTTGTTTGTTTTTTCCTTCCGTACAATACCCTGGCGCTGTGTTCCGAGTGCCTAGCGTTGATCGACGGAGAGAAGAGCGCCACAGCGCTCTATATTCGACGTTGTAATATTGTGTGATGTCGCGGCGCAACGGGTTTGAGCGCTGCAACATCATGATGACAGAGAATTAAGCGCCGCAACGTTGCGAGGAGAACTGGATAGTTTTCTTTCTCATTTTTCTGAAGGGTTGCATCCCTTGGTGTTATTAATTTGGCTTTCTCTTGTGTTTTGAGTGTGAAAATTGTGTAAGAGAGAAGAGAAGCAAGGAGAGAGTGAGAGAGAAGAGAGATTTGTACTTATTTCTCCCCATTTTCATAGGATTCATTGGTGTGGTGTCGCTCAATTTTTTTTTCTTCCTAATTTTGAGTTTTTCCACGTTAAATCATGGTGTCCTTTTACTTCCGCTGCTTTTACATTTTTTATTTGTTTCGTTGCGGTGTTTTACTCTTCTCAATCCCCAACATGTGCAATAATCTCAATCCCCAACATGTGCAATAATCTTGTAGAAGGCATTGCAAAGGAAAATATGCTTGAAACATGAAATGTTGTTAGCATGAGGAGATTTAGGGATAGAGAATAATACCAGTGGCCTTGACTTTGATTGGGAGGTAGCTATTCCTGAAGAAATGTTTAACAGCATGGTATAACTGATTGCCAATGATAGAACTCAAAAGAAAAACCATCAGGGCTAGGAGTGGCATTCTTGGCAGCAGAAAAAAAATGACATACTTGATTTCCTCATCTATCATAGGGGTAGTGAGAGCTGAAGGTACGGTGGAATGGTATTTCCAGCAAGCGAAGACTGAGAGATATTCTCAATTAAAATTTGACTGTTAAAAAGATTTTTGAAATGAGCAATTGTAGCTTGAGCCATAGAGGTTGAGCAAGTAAAAATCTCCAGAGATTTAGAGATCTGTTTGATGCAATTATAGTTCCTTTTCCCTCTAATCTTACCATAAACAACATAAGGTTCTCTTCACCATGAGATAACCATTTGGTCTTGAAGTTTGAGAGACTCATTTATAGCCTCTGCGTTTGCCTTTAAAGTGCTATTTTGAGGTTCCTTGTTGAGTGTTGAAAGACAAGAAAACTGTCTACTTTGGAGATTCTGGATGGTGGAGAAGATATGATTAGAGGAGAAGGATTGATCTCTTTTAATAATGCTTTTCAGTTTTTGGAGTTTGGAATATAAGGAAAAGATAGGTCTCCTTGGATTTGATGAGAGAAAGGTGAGAAGAGCTTCCCAGAAATTAGGGAGCTTAATCCAATAGGCTTTTGGAAAGGAATCTATGACTTTTATTGGGAGGGGCCTGGTTTTGTAAAATAAGAGAGTGGTTAGAACTCCTAGCAGTTTCAACATTATAGAAAGAGAGAGGAAACATGTCTAACCAGAAATCATTAATGAGTATCTTGTCCAGCTTAATATGAATTCGGTTTTTAGTCTTTTAATTAAGCCTGGTGTAAGAGAGCCAAACCAAAGCAAGATCTTTAAACCTGAATAAAAAAATCATATTATTGAACTCTCAGAATTTACTATTTTAAATGGGGGTGCCTCCAGATTTTTCATTTTAGTTTCTCCAGCAATTGAAGTCCCCCATGATGATCCATGTTTGATTCATACTAGCAGCAATATCTTTAAGATTATTCCATAATGTTGTCATTTTCATCATAGAGTTTGATCCTTAGACCATCGACAAAAGAAAAGATGGAAGAGAACCAAAAATCACCTGGTCATGAATCATTTGAGTACCAACTGAAATTATTTCTGCCTTCATTGGTAAAAAGTTTATGGGACTTAATAAATCACAGATCAGATAAGAAGGAACCGTTAATCTTTTCTTTGAGGATACAAAAGAGGTCTAGTTTAAAAGAGTTAACAAGATCCCTTCGATTAAGAACCCTATCAAAGCTATTAAACCTCCTAACATTTCAAGAAGCCAAGTTGGGAAAATTCATCAAGTTTTTGAGGTGGAAGCCAATTATTTTAGCCTTTGTTTGTCAGCAGCCGGGTTGGAAGCTAAGGAATCTATTGTTTAATGAGAGGAGTTTAAAAGTACATTTGATAGATCATTTTCATCATAGAACAAAAATTGCTTCATAGAAAGCCTCTTAGTAATAGAGTTACCAACCAAGCTGAGCTCTCATTCTTCGGATCTTTCCAAAATTTCTTCTTTCGAGAAGCAAACCATCTTTGTCTTGAAGAGGCAAGAAGCTAACGGGCAAAATTTGTCGACAAAGGTTTTTTTTGGAGGATAGAAGATTTTTTCAGTTAAGCTTTGAAGGGTTTTCAAGCCTAGCAGTGGATGTAGACTTATAGGGAAGGGGAGAACTGTTTTTTTCGTTTGAATAATTCATGTTTCTATGTTTTTATGTTTTTTGAATAATAAAGGGGAGGGGGAGGGGTGGAATTTTTGAAAAAAAAATTACTTTTGAATAATTCATGTTTCTATGTTTGAGTGCAATGATTTTGTTTCAGGCACTAAATGAAAAATAAGAGGAGAGTTAACAAAAGATGTTATGGATTAAGGTTTCGTTTGGGATGACTTTTTTACTGTTTCCTAAAGCAGCTTTTTAGTAAAAAATTAAAATTAAAATTAAAATTTTTGTACTAGAAAATATCTTTAAGAAGCAATAAAGAAGCCATCTCAAAAGAAGCCTAAGATTCTAGTGATTGCTAATTGATAACTGTGCTGATTTTCTGAATGGTTTTTGATGGATGCAGCTTCGTTCTGCAGGATGGGAAGTTGAGCGGCTGCTGATACCATCTATCGTTTGGAGAGCACAGTGGGATTATGTTTCAGCTGAACAGAAGATGAAATAGTTAAGCCCTTGTTCTCAACCACAACTACTTGAATTTTGTAGTCAGAAATTTGAGTGGAATGAACCGCCTTGAGCCAGAAATTGGTTTTCATTATAGATATTTCAATCGTTCTCTTTCGATCCAAACAAATGCCCAAAATTTTATTATTATGGAGATTGTGCAGTCAGGATAAATATTTTATAATTTTATTTTACTGATAGTTATCATATTTTGATATAGTTACAACTTGCTATTTTTCTCAATTTTGTGATGTGATCTTTTTAAAAATTAGATCTTACAATGGTAATGTCTGACTTTTTTAGAAAGAATATATATTATAATGATTTTAAAACATAATAATTTTACAGCAAAATTAGTATTTATACAAGCTATTATTGTTCCAAATGGGCCTCTTTGGTGTCGGTGCGAAGCATTATTGTTCTAATTATCTATCAATTCAAGCTAAGATTTTATTTGAGATAATTTTTTTGGTGCTTTGTAAAAATTTTGTCATCCACATAATTTCAAGCATATATTTCACTACGTGAGGGTGAGATTTCTTATATGAATCTTTTTTTCTTTATCATTAAGAGTTAAATTTTTATTAAAATTTAATAAAAAAAAAAATCATTTTTAATTTTTTTCTAACCAAGTCTTTTTTAGGTTTACTTCCAACTTTTCATAACATATAATAATAATAACAAGTATTTATTCCACTATATATGATTGATTATATGAATCCTTTTTCTTCATTATTATTAATTAAAAATTAAAAAGAAATATCATTTCTTATATGTTTTTAAGTATTTTTAGATCCATCTCTAATTTTTTTAACATATCATCTTTTATTAAGAAAAATATCATATACATTATTTAAGTTCACTTTTAGCTCCGTCTAGTCTCATCTACAAGAAAAATACAATCACTAAATAACATACACCATTACATCTTGTAAAATTATTATAAAAATATATATTTTTTAGTATACTAAAAAAGCTGCTTTAAGCAGTAAGAAAGCCGGGACGAAGTCTTTTTTTTTTTTGCCTTAAATATTTATACCCTTTCTTTTTTCTTATTACGTAGCCTATCACAAAACGACGGGCAATGAGAACGAGAGGGTGGTTGAGTACTCTTTTTTTTTGGACATTTAGGCCATTTAAGGTAAACTCACACACACAACGCAAATACATGGACTCGAACCTTGGACCTCTTAGTTGGAAGCCTAAGCTCTCAACCAATAGGCCAAGGAGAGTTGTGTGGTGGTTGAGTACTCTTACTCAACATTCTGAAAAAAAAGGAAAGACATAAAGGTCAGTTTTGTACTTATATGTCAAATGATGCTGCTGCATAAGTTAATAGTCCATCCAGAAACCAGTAACCAAATCTTTCCAAACACTTGTTTACATACCACAGTAACGTATGACAGTTCAAATAAATTAATCAACGGGAAGGAAAAAAAAAAATAAGTTGCAGCATGTAAAGTAGTAACTCAACCAAATTAGCCAGTAACTATCAGGAAGCTTCTGCAATAGGAAATGAAAATGGCCAAGGTGATTCTGCATGGAAGCTACCTGCACAGTTCAGTAAATCCTGACCACTTTGGTGCTGCTGCAAGATCCAGAGCCTCTAACTTTGCCATTCGAAAACCAATCTGCATTGATTTACTTGCAAGAGCTTGCATCCTGAAAATCGAAGACAATATTCACTGAAACAAGAACTATAGAGGGAAATTCAATAGAAAGTACTCAAAAGGAAAGGATACCCTGCCATCCGGGCATCCAAAAAGGTGCTACTAGTGCTTCTTCTATGAGAGCGCTTTCTATCACCACTGCTGCTGGCATTAGATGGCTTAGCTTTCATGTGCTTCTGCCTGTGATAATCCCAAGTCTTGGCCTTGGGAAGACGGTGGCGGTGTCCCCTCACTGTGTGGGAAGATGAAGTAACAGGTGGATCATGGACATTTGCTGCCCATGTAACATGTAGATTTCGATCGAGAGGTTTCCCTTTATTTGCTCGGCTTCCTTTCAGTGCAGACATAAATTTTAAGGAGTCCTGCAAATGGAATGGCATGGTATTGAACCAGTCACTGTTACTTATAGCTTGAATCCAAGTCAATAAGATAATACAGATTTTATAAAGCGATTCAATCCAAAGTTTACCCAAGTTGTGTAACATTTAGCAAACAAGTGGATGGGAAAAATAAAACAGCTGGGAGGGAAAATTGAATAGAATATTGCCTAAAGTTTAAGTTTAGGGTTTCTTCCTGAATTTTACAATAAGACCCCTACCAAATAAGGGCCATGCTGAGCAGAAAAAAAAGATTCCATGCTAAATTTTCAGACTTTTGTAAAACAATTTTATCTTAACAAAATTATAACACCTCTCACTGAATGCTACATTTCACATTGCAAAAGAACAATTACTACACAAACCCAAGTGATCAAAGAAGCTGAATAAAATGCAGATGAGACTCATCAAATATAAAATAACATATCTATCGGTTGTAAACAGTTACAATTTGTTTATTTCCCAACACCCATCCATGAACAATTTTTTGTTCTATTGATACATAATAAAAATTTACCTTTGAAGTACACACATTCTTTCATCATATAGTACCACCAAGAAACTTCTATTTTAATCACCCCGTGGGAAGGTAAATATTCATATGATGTTAATCATGTTCTCGATACAATACGACAAGACACATAAACATATTGTACCTAAGCAATATTCTATCCTCCAATACTATAAATTTAAATGTACTTAATTCATATCAACAAACCTATAAAACTTACACTCTGGTATTGATCTACTAATCCTAAGTCCATGCGCAAGAAGAAAAGAGAATAGTTTAAACTCTTATCTTCCTACGTTGCAAGAGAAAAAAAAAATGCCAGAACTCACTTCATTATTATCAAGAGGAAAATGCTTGTAATAAAATGCATCAAGTCGTACATGAAGGAAGGCAAACAGATACTCTTAATCTGTATGTAACAATTATTTGACCTTGACATTCAAAAGATCAATCAATCAATCAATCAATATATAAAGATACAAAACAAAGAACAAGTCACATTTATAATGGTAATCTACCATTTTCAAAACATAAGGGCCTTAAAACATGCAATTTTGCTTTAATATCACCAATGAAAATTGCCAGTATTTGCAATCTATATGATTTTTTATATAAACAATTTGAACAAAGGAAAAAAATCGTATCTCCAATGCCAATTTATAATTTTTGGTAAAAAGAACAAGGCCTTAAAACCTGCTATTTTGTTTTAATATTCCTTGCCTATAAATAAAATGTTCAGCCATACATATAAGACAGTTATGATACAACATTCAACTGTATGGCATGAAAATCCGGTGTTTTGATTGAATTTAAGACTTCCAAAAAAGAAAACTTGACGGTAGAAGGAACCGATTCAGATAGAAGTGTATGAGGACGTCAAAATGCAGCAGTAACAAAACAAGATGAATATGTAGATTAAAGTCATTACTTATAATCATTGCCATCATAAGCTAGATTTACTAGATGTTGTCAATGCAACTCACTGCGAGCATGACATTTGAGATAAAGGCAGATCATTACTAAAAGAAAGAGTAGGAAAAATTATAATATAAGCAAGATGAGTTTGTCTTTGCATATTTCATCATCTAATGCTTGCAAAAATATTCCACCGTGATGGGACAACAAAAAAAGCAAGGTAGTAACCATGTAAATCTCAAAACAATAATGTGATTACAGAAAATAATAACTCAGCAAAGTCCTATAAAATTAATGCTTTGTAGGCAATTTGAACTTGGGCTAATTCTGGTGACACTGAAACAATCACAAAAACAGAACCAGAACTTACATGAAGAGGCAACATGCTATCTTCTCCGGGATTGTTAACAGGCACAGAATTTTCATATCCCAATTGTATAGTTGATAACTCTACTTCAGCAAATATTGACGGGATTGATTGCAAAGCTTCGGAGCATAGAATTGCCG